TTTAGGAAACTAAGAACGATGTTGTTTTCCAATAACACATTCTTCACAAACTTGAGACGGAACAACAATTTCATGAAGCTCCGTCACCATACTCTTCCTTTGAAGGGTCTTCAAGCAACCAAAGTTCAACTGACCATATCGAAAATGCCACAACCATTAAGGATTTTTCATTTCCGTCATATAGCAAGATTGAAAATTTTCAATCTTCAAAGGAAAAAAATTGTTTTGACTCATTTTCACAAAAGCAATAACTCATATATCCTTTGAAGGGTCTTCAAGCAACCAAAGTTCAACTGACCATATCGAAAATGCCACAACCATTAAGGATTTTTCATTTCCGTCATATAGCAAGATTGAAAATTTTCAATCTTCAAAGGAAAAAAATTGTTTTGACTCATTTTCACAAATGCAATAACTCATATGGAGGGATCAGAAATTTCACATGTATCATTCCTTAACGTGATGACATACCCTTTTTCTAGCAGCTGACCAACACTTAATAAATTGTTTTTCAAAGTTGGAACATAAAACACATTAGATATGATTTCTCCACACCCATTTTTTATTATAAAATTGAAATTACCATTTCCCATCACATTCACTGTTGAGAGATCATCAAAGCTAAAAATTAGTAAAAGAAGACTTACTTCCAGTCATATGGTTACTACAGTCGGTATCCACATACCAAATAACTTGCTCATTTGGCTCGTGTTTCCGCATGAATTGGCATTAATAAGGTTTCTCCTTCCTTATTCTCAACAAAATTTGACTTTTCTTCCTTCTCATTAGGTAGCCTAGTACAACATTCAGAACGATAATGACCAAATTTATGGCAACGATAACATTCTACATTAGATTTGTCAAAATCTCTCCCTCTGCTTTTGTCGTAGTCACCATTGGTTCTAAAATTCACGTTGCCATCTTTGCTGCCTCCATCTCTGTTTCCTCGATATCCTCTTCTTCTACCCATTCCTCTAGCATTGGAAGAAATAAAAGTAGAATTCTTCAAGGTCTGCTCATCAGAAGTTGAATTGCGATTCATCATTTGTTCATGCACCAAAAGGAGCTTTGCAATTCATCAAGTGATAAATCATCTATATATTTTGACTCATCTATGGAGCAAATGATATAATCATACTTCGGCATCAACGAGTGCAATATTTTCTCAACAATTGTGGCATCGTTCATCTTCTCACCATGAAATTGCATTTTGTTGCTAATCTTCATTGTTCTAGCGCAGTAACTCATTATAGACTCTCCTTCCTTCATCTGGAAAGTCTCAAAATTCCTTCTCAAAGCTTGAAGTTGTGCGCGCTTCACTCAAGCAGTGCAAATCCCTTCTCAAGGCTTGAAGTTGTGCGCACTTCACTCTAGCAGTGTCTTGATATTTCTTTTTCATTGAGTCCCATATGTCTTAACGTTGTTTTTTTCACTGCTACAACAGTCCTTTTATAAAACAAATACATATGAAAGACTGAAGCTAGAAATTAGGAACTACTACACCAAGATTTTCTTCTAAAAACTTGATAACAACCCACACTAAAACTACTTCCTAAATATTAGGACAAACATAACGATAAACATTTTATTCGTAACATAACTTAATAAAACTAACATAGGAACATTAAAGCACAAAAGTTTTATTCAATATAGTCCAATTACATAATTTTAAAAAGAGATTACAACTACAAATTAATTATTTAGTGTCATATATAGACACATACTTTTGTGGCAATAATTCTTAAATCCTTCTTTTTAAGCTTTCTTTAGAGGAGTATTGCTAATGCAATAGTTCTCATTGCAACTTGTCATGCAACTTCCAAACTTGTTCTTATCGGCAAAATTACATAGTCTTTGTGTAAGGCAAGATTATATACATATATATCAAAAAATAAATGTATTCAAACAAAACAAGTATAGCAAGACAATTCAAGGAGTAATTAGTTACCATATTTGATGAGAAATTTGTAACAATGGCCGAGAGAACATCCAACATTACAACCGCGATTTTCAAAATGGCCGAGAGAACATTCAACATCCATTTCGCATACGAGAGAGCACTTAGTAAAGCACGAAGGGTTACCATGGCACACATTAGTACAGTGTTTTATACAAAAAAGGGTCACCATGGCACTCTGTAAACAGAAGTATTGCAAGGAACAAAACAAATACAACTTTCAATGCCATAATTAATTATACTATATGGTACTTGTTAGTTGTTTGATGTGAAAAAAAGGGTTCTCACACTCAACTATTTATAGAGGAAATGAAAATATATTATTTTAGATTATTATAACCAGTTGATATAACATAAAAACTAAATCATGTGTTCACTTCTTTATATTTTAATTTTTTTTCTTAGTGAATATTCTGGTTTTTTTGTATTTGTTTGACCATCAATATTTGCATTTTCTAAATCTAAATACTTGAAATAACAGAATGACTTGAGAGATTTTTATTTTATTTTTTTGTTTGTTATTTCGGTCCTTGTACTTCATAGAGTTTCATTCAGACACATGAACTTGTTCAAAACTAATATTTTGTTTATTAAAATCTTTTCTTATTTGGACGGTAGTAAAAGTCCTAATATTTAAAACTTTAAAATCAAATTACAAATTCTATTAACTTAAAATCATTCATCACAATTTTTTAACTCATGATACAATAGAGACTTTATTTTGCATTAACACATTCAATTCCTAACTGAATTAAATGTACTTTGAAAATGACTTATCATATGTAATTTAAAGCTAATATTTCTAGATGTAAAAAAACATGTTCAAAATTTTAATGGTTGAAATTCTTCTGAGGTGCTACAACAGATAAGATCATGGCAATAGTACAGTTGTGGATTTTCCATCGCAAAAATTCACACACCTTATTTGGATTATAAAATAATAATTGTAAAATAGAAATATGTACTTCTTCTACATCAATTCAAAATGGTGCATTGATCCTTTTCTTCAGTTTGGTGTGAGTATGACAATGTTAGTTGAGTGTTTGGATTATGCAATTGAATATATGCTTTCTTTTTTCTTCTTTAATTATTTTTTTTATTTTCTATTCGGTGTCTAGTAATTATATTAGCGTTCGATTAAAGTTGAATTCATGTAGAAATGTGAAAAATGATAAAGTTGATTTTTGGAATATCATAGATTTTTCTAGTATAGTTTCTAGAATAGTCTAGTGTAATATCTAGAATAATTATCTTAAAGAAATATCCAGATATTTTTCCTTTAACTTTCTAGCTTCCTCTTCTTTAGTTGAATCTTCCGATCTTAGTAAACGATCTTGGGCTAGCAGAAGGTTCCTTGATTATACTTTTCTTCTGCTATTCTCTACAAATTTCACATTATGGATAAAGAGCTTTCTATCAAAAGTGATTTCACATCCAACGGGACTCAAACACTACACCTCTCTAATTAAAAATAAATAGATAATTATCGCTCCATCATAATTCTTATTGTTGATTCAATATATGCTTATGCCTCCATAAAATAGTTAAAAAGAATCTAAATAATTATTTCTTCGAGAGGGAAAACGAAGATAGAGAAAGTAAAAATAATTGGAAAGAAAAGAGGAATCTTAGAAGTACCATTTTTTGTTTTTGAGTTTAACTAATATTTACCGCAAGATCGGTTCACTTAAATTGGGAGGCTAAATTCAAACTTCATACATAGATTTTAATTTTTTTTCTAGATGACATTATATAAATTAATTTTCAATTATGGATGTGGTGGAGTCAGAATCTTTTATCAGAAAAAATAATAAGAAAGTAAACGCACAAGATGTATATACATAAAAAATTTAACAAATTAAAGTGGACAACAAAATATTCTTAGAGAGAGAAGCTCTAACTTAATATTGACAAAAGGGCTAACATATCCTTCAAATGTATACTCCTTATTATTCTACTCAAATTATGAGCTTGTTTATCGAAATTATTTTATCTATATCATTGTAGTAATGAACAACACATAATTACATGTAGAAACTCTTTATATATTTTTGTTGTTTTATTTCAAATTATAGTGATGGAGAAGTTTTATGGTAAGTCCATTGTTAATTTTAAGAGTAAGAAATTATTTTAGCTAATCTAACATAATAAAAGTATAAACAATGATTCTTTATTCAGACTAAACTAAAAAGATTATTATTTCATCATCTCGATATTCATTAATATCTTAAAAAGTCCCTCAAATGAATTATTGTACATCCACTTCCAAGTCATGTAGTTTCAACGAAGAAGTCTCAAATGATACTTTGAACAAGGGTGGTTTTGTCATTGGTTAATCTGAATCTCACAAATTCATACAACTTATCTTGCAGATCCGGATACTAACAAAAAAAAAAACCATGATATTATGCTATATGTTTCCTCTATAAACAAATGAGTGGTTTGTACCACGGGTTAATCTCCATCACACAACTAATTATCTTGATCAAAATATAAACCTATATTGTTTTTCCTCTATAAAATATTGTTCCTTGTGAAAAATTTATTTTCACATCAATTCCAAATATAGTGCGAAGCAAATTAAACTCTCTTTCTCTCGGTCATTATTACAAATTTCTTGTCCAATATGGTAACTAAAGAAAGACTTAACACCAAATAATTTTCTGGCTCTTGTTCAATACTGTCATGGTCAACATATCGACATATATGGTACAATATATGAATTCAAATTTAATTTGATTTCAATGTGATATCAAATACTAAATGAAAAAAAAAATTAATATATCGCAGAAAATGTTATTATTATGTATTGGTCTTTCTTCATTCTTATCTATTAGCTCTTGTCAGATACTCACGTATTTAACACATGCTCCACAAAATAGGACCACAAAAAAATGAAACTTTATTGTTTATTTACAAGTATGCATCATTTTTGTGTTTATCATACTATATATATATACTAGGTGGGGAGGCCCGTGGCAAGCACGGGCCCAATAGTCCAAATACTATGCGCGTAAAAATATAAATATTAAGGCTTTTGCAGAAGATGGATAATATGATATGTTATATACTATTAGATATATTTTGAGAATATGTACAACAGACATCAGTATGATGCCGACTTCAACGATCTGCAAATACTAACTAATATTGTAGAACCAAAATAATATAGCAGATGTTTCATTTTTGGTATATAAGATTAGCATGTCATTGTTATCATATGTAGAGGACGCCGGAGTTTGCTTCTTAGTAGCTAATCTTCTTCATTCAAAAAGCCATAGCATAGGGAGACCGATTCATTGTATTCTCCCTATTAAGCAAAAGTCACAAAATGGAGTGAGGGAGTTCCTGTAATTAGACAGTTTGAAGCTTGTGAGAAACTGAAAATATGGCAAAACATAGCAAAACAATTTAAATAGTAGCCTCCAAAGTGGGACATTTTTAGTACAGAAAGTGGAAAACAACAAATGGAAATTTCAAAAAGAACAATACATGGGGGAATGAGGCTGACGCAATTGATGTCCAAAGGCTACGATCATATATTCATCGGCAATTTCATGAGAAGCTTAATGCTATTGTTAAATGATCAGTAATGTAGTGTACAACTCCTATTGCATGAGAAGCTTTAAAGAAATCATGAACTTTTGATCAATAGAAGCTTTTTGGATACTTTGTGATAAATATTATCCTAACTCTGAAGTAATCAAGCTAGTCAATTTCATACTGCATACTGCTCAATTTCATCGGCATACAGAAGTGCCTTAATCTGGCATTCCTGAAAGTATGAGTTATAGAAAGGTGAGAGTAAGTAAGCTGAGATTAACTGTAACTACTGACCAACAGTAAAAGGAAGGGAAAATGTTCATATGAGGTAAAAAGAAGAAGAAGAATACTGATAAGCTAAAATATAATCCGCTCACCTCTTCATCTTCCAAAATGAAAATTTGGAATCTACATTTCTTGTCAAGACTTTTTCGCGGGCGTCCAATTTCCACAATTTGAATTTTGCAAATCCAATCTCGTGTTGCTAATTCTATTCGGTCGATGTTCAATCTTAGTACCATGTTTGTACGAAATATATTTAACCAAACAGTAGTATCTGCATGATAGCATGACTATTGAGTCAAAGTTCTTTCTTTTTTGTGGTTGCATGAATAAGGGAAATTAAATTAGGAACATGCAACAACATAATTTCCCTCCAGATAGTAAAAGTCAGAAAATGTAATGAAAATAGAATATGAATATTTGTAATGAAATTCAGAACATGCAAGAACATAATTATCCCTAACTTACTGAAAGATTAGAAAATATAATAAATAGCCCCAAATCTGTCTGCTAACTAATAAAATTGGAATTTTAAGTGAAAATAATAACTGTAATTTTGTCCATTTTGGTTTCTTCCTTTGGTGAGAAGCAAAATCTGCAACAAAATTTGAAAATGGGAAGAGGGAAAACATGAAAAGAGGAAAAAAATACCTACTTCCTTTGGTGAGAAGCAAAATCTGCAACAAAATTTGAAAATGGGAAGAGGGAAAACATGAAAAGAGGAAAAAAATACCTAAGAAAGGGAGCAAAAGTTTTTCTTCAATGGAAGCGTAATAAATTTGTGTTGTATGAGTAATATATATAGGAGTAATATATATATATAAAAGTACAACTGTCTTTCTCTTAAAAATTGATGGGGTTTTGGTAGGCAATGAAATTGTGCCAAAAAAGAGACAAAATGATTACATTTGACACTGAAAAGCAAAATTTGAAGAGGCTTTGGTCTAATTATATAGTGATGTGTCTTGTGGAAATTTGATGGGTTTTGATAGCAAATGAAATTGTGCCAGAAAAGAGAATAAATTATTACATTTGACTGCACAATTTGAGCAGCCTTTGGAGAAAAAATTATTACACTTGACTGCACAATTTGACCAGCCTTTGGTTGAAGTTTCTTTTTGAAGTCTATCTATTGTTATTCTTAAATAAACTATAAAATTTCAAATATCAGGACCATTTTATATCACAATTTAAGTAATTGGAAAAAGTTATTTTTGATAGAGAAACTGAAATAAGTTTCCTATGATTTATCAAGGAAGTCAAATTGAAGATTCAATCTTGATAACAAAAGTTGATGACTGTATGAATACCTAATATTGTCTGAAATTGAAATAAACGTAGAAAGAAACAGTAATCATGAACGAAGAGGGTTCACAGAATAGTTATTTTCCCTCTTCGCAATAGAGAGTATGAATTATGAAGATTTCAAGTAACCTCATAGAAGATATAGAAATGAATCAAAACAAAAGACTTAGAAACTTACCAGAAGTAGATTTGAAGCAGTCAAAGAAAATAAGATGGGAAAAAGTTTAAAGGAGATTCGAAGTGAGAGTTGTGGTTGTTGTTATTCGACTTTTGAGCAGAGGTGGACACTGGGTAAAAAGGACCATAGATGCAATCTGTACATCAAAGTTATATACATATTTATTTACATTTTCATACATGCATAGGAAAATAATATACAGTTTATGATACCGAAAAATTACCGTAACTAAGGATTAAAGCAACATTGAAGAAACATAGAAGCAAATAAAATTGTACAAACTTTTCCTTTTATAAAACACATGTATTGTAATATTTTAAACCACGTGTACCTCTTTTTCTCTGCATAATACATGTGTATTATATTTAGCCATCTAAACCTTATTACTGAAGTAGAACTGAACATTACTCTCTCTCAACGCCGGCGAAAGCGGATTAGAAATTTTTGCTTGTTCATATCCAACTTTTTTCTTCTCTTTTGATATTTGTTGTTTATTCTTCTCTTGTGATGATTATTGGCTAAATTATTGAAGGTATTTACTTATTATGGGGGAAATGTTACTTTCATTCTTGTGGATATGATTTATTCTTGCATTCGACAAAACACTATCAAGTAGATAATTTAAATATTGTATGAAGCAGACCATGCACTTGAGCGACAAGAGAAAGGTATTGTCTTAGGGTTAAGGGAGAAGGACTTTGTGAGAATGTCTTAATGCTAATTGAAATACCAAAGAAATGTGAAAACAGAGTTAAAACACTATGAATGAAGAGATTATTTACTTGATCTGTTGTTTGCCTTCTCTCGGTCTTATCACAGCGTAGTAATTTAAGACAGTGAGCTTGCATTTGCCTATATGATCCTTACAGGATGCCTTGTTCAAAAAATTTAAAATGGGAAAAAACATATGAAATGACAAATGATGATTCCTTTATATCAATAGAATTATTCTGCAGTTTAGATGCATAAGTGAACATACTTTCTTTATCTACCAAAAAGCACAGAGTTGAGAAGCTGTCAGCTCCCCTGCGTTTTAAACTATTGAAATACACTATCAAGCAGACCATGCAGTTTAAACTGTTATATGATAAATCATAACAACATTCTTCTACTGAATGAACAATTCGTCTAATAATGACGGCTCTTAAAATGTCATCGTTAGATTTTGATTACTCAAAAGAATATAGCATATTATTATCATTTGTTTCATGAAGACCTGAACAAATTGGAAAGATGTGTGCTATATTGCAAGGACATAAGGAGCTTTTAGATTGTCAAAGTAGTGCAAATCTAGCAGGTAATCCTATTCCTACTTGAAATGGATTGTAGACACTGGAGCCTCAGATGACATGATACATAATCATGCGTATTTGCATCATAAGAAATAGTATCAGCAGACAGCAGACGTAAGTTTACTGTGGATGACATTGGATGACATAATTGCTTTAGCGGAAAGAGGAAAAAAAAAAGAACTTGCAATGAAATGCAAAAAATAGCAGTAGCACCTTAGACGCATTTGTTGTGGACAATGGATGGACCACAGATGTCGTACTCGGCCTTCAAAATCCATATCTGATTAAGTACAGTACATGTTTAAGTTAGGAAGAACCCAGTTGAAAATGTAGTTTAAAATGCAAGAGAAGATTTTTGCTTACTGAAAGGTGCTAAGTGAAGTGAGGATGGATAGTCACTGTACTTTGTCTCTGGTGTCATTATGAATTCCAGTATCCATTTGTGTCAGATCTGACCTACTACTTCTCTTTCACTTTCAGAGACATAATTGTTGTGTTTAGTAATAGGGCTGCGATGAGATCTCCAGAATTGTTGTGTTTAGTAATTGGGGCTGCGATGAGATCTCCAGAAATGTCATGTGCCACTCTGATATTAGTGATGTGTACCCTTCTTAGTGTTCACAGAAAAGCTGCAGTGAAAGTTTCGAAAGTCGAAGCATAGACAATTTGGGTAAGTAACGATGAGATATGTAAGCCTATGAAATAAGTTTAGTTAAATGTAGGAGAATCCCAAATTTTACGTATGAAGGAAAGAGGAAAGATTCTATCTTACTTAAAAGTTAAAAAAAGGGAACTTTCTGGAGAAGTTAGATACCTATACTATGTAGAACATTTTGTTCAGTTCAAAACTCTGAAGCTTCACACTGGTCTACACACATGTTTCACAATCTAAAACCACTTTGATAGCTTTAAAATTCTGTGTTGGTGTACTTTATGCATGTTCTATAATGAGACGTCAATCCTACTGTAACAGCCTAACACTTGTATACAGAATGATTAAATCAAATTGACAAACCTGGCATCATGGTAGACATAGTCATTGAAAATGTTAAGGTAAAATCGCTCCTATTTCTTCAAATACTCATGTAACACCCTTGAGATTTTCATGCACTTTCCCTCTAGATAAAGCAAAGGAAGATTATTGCAACATGCGACACAAACAATGATTTTTACTTTCAGCTTGTCCATTCTTGTGCTTTCTTTAAGTTACTTCTTAGTGCGTCGATTATAGGAATGCTCACTGTACATTATATCGTATTTGTAAAGATTTGTAACTATGAAAAATGCACTTCGAGGAACAAAAGATCATGATAAGTGTGTTTTTTTCCATCTACTTCTTTTTATTTATTTACAACTTGGTAGTTGCTCCTTTACTCTATTTTTTAACATAAAATGGAACTGTAGAAGGTTGATATTAAAGGAATTAACAACTATTAGTTTTGCCAGTAGCTTACTAAAAGAGAATAACATGTGTTCTACAGTAACAATAAATATGGTGACTTGTTTTAGTTTTCATATGCAAATGGTTTTTTAAAAGCTCAGAAAGGTATATGGGTATGAAAAATTTCACATCACTAATATCAGAGTGGCACATGACATTTCTGGAGATCTCATCGCAGCCCCAATTACTAAACACAACAATTCTGGAGATCTCATCGCAGCCCCAATTACTAAACACAACAATTCTGGAGATCTCATCGCAGCCCCAATTACTAAACACAACAATTCTGGAGATCTCATCGCAGCCCCAATTACTAAACACAACAATTCTGGAGATCTCATCGCAGCCCCAATTACTAAACACAACAATTCTGGAGATCTCATCGCAGCCCTATTACTAAACACAACAATTATGTCTCTGAAAGTGAAAGAGAAGTAGTAGGTCAGATCTGACACAAATGGATACTGGAATTCATAATGACACCAGAGACAAAGTACAGTGACTATCCATCCTCACTTCACTTAGCACCTTTCAGTAAGCAAAAATCTTCTCTTGCATATTCTTTTGCATTTTAAACTACATTTTCAACTGGGTTCTTGCTAACTTAAACATGTACTGTACTTAATCAGATATAGATTTTGAAGGCCGAGTACGATAGTTGTGGTCCATCCATTGTCCACAA